ATATATGGACATTTTCCTTATTTTGTTGTCTGATTTATATCATAACTGAATATCTTTGGGTTTTTGGAAAAAACAAGACACTACTTTGGACATTGAGAAACTGAGAAGGACATTTGTAGACCAAACTAAAATAGAATAATCTAGAAAATAAACCGGCCGATTAATTTATAATGACAATAATCATAGGTTGCAGCCCTACTGTGTATGTACTGTAGGGAGGAATACAGTATCAATTATTTCTTGATCGGTGATACATGCTGTCTTGAATGTAACAGTAACACTCTTTTGGGCTCTCTCCAGTGTTTTATTTGTGCCAACAAAGCTCAATATATCGGACTCATCAGAAAAAGAGGAGTTATTTAAAGAACTTGTCTCAGGTGCTCAGCAGAGTAAAATAGAGTGGAGTCTTGGGGGGTGGGGTGCATTCATGCTTTCGTCGGTGAAGCAGCAGCGGTAAGGATCCTGGTGAATCTCGGTGGACAATCAAAGTGTGTGGCTTCATTTTGATCTTCTTGAGGAACAGTTCTGGGCTCTGTGGGTAAAGAGTGCTCGGGGTCATCACTGTTGATTGAGAAAAGGCATCGAAGGGACAGTTGAGATACACCCTGTAAGTTTGGTGGTGTGTGCAAATGTGTGTTTGCACCTTTAAGTGAGCACTGAGTGCCTGTGTGTGTGTGTGTGTGTGTGTGTGTGTGTGTGTGTGTGTGTGTGTGTGTGTGTGTGTGTGTGTGTGTGTGTGTGTGTGTGTGTGTGTGTGTGTGTGTGTGTGTGTGTGTGGTGTGTGTGTGTGTGTGTGTGTGTGATGTGTGTGTGTGTGTGTGTGTGTGTGTGTGTGTGTGTGTGTGTGTGTGTGTGTGTGTGTGTGTGTGTGTGTGGTGTGTGTGTGTGTGTGTGTGTGTGTGTGTGTGTGTGTGTGTGTGTGTGTGTGTGTGTGTGTGTGTGTGTGTGTGTGTGTGTGTGTGTTTGCTTTTTCTTCAAGAGTTCAGGTTGTATAGCAGCTGATATGTCAAATACAATCCGAGTTGTATCACATCAGACCAGGATCCGCGGTCCAGTTCAGGCTCATTTGTCTCGTTGATTCATCCAAAATAAAGAGTCCATTCTGTCGTCTCCCTCTGCAGACCGGAGCTCAGAAGCTGCAGGGGGTCTCAGAGGAAGGGGTTGTGGCTGTGTGTCTGTGACTGAGTGTGCTGCGCCCGGCGGGGGGAGAGGGGCAGGAGGGGCTGGGGAAGGTTGGAAGGGAGGTCCAGGAGTCCTGCGTGAGGCTGTGTGAGGGAGGAGGGGAGGGCGGAGGCCTGGTGGTGCAGCGGGAGGGGCAGCGACGGGCTGTAGGAGAGCATGTGGGGGGGCAGGGGGGATGTGGAGCACGGTCGCATCTGGTTGAGGGTGAGGCGAGGCTGGTCGCAGTGGAACGGGTTGGTGGGAGACGGGGCGCTCAGACCTGAGGAGGCAGGATGGAAAGGACAATATCACAATAGTATTTTTGGAAATACAGTTAGGGATGACAGTTAATATGATTTTTTAAATACCAATGTTATTATTGATCCTGCACCTTGGTTAGATTCTTCATTATTATTTATTCCTAGAAACAGTAGGCCCACATTGTTTCAAGTGTCAACGCAGTTATTTTTTTATCTCCACGCCTGAAGTTTTCTGGACCCCTTTGAAAACGAGATGGTGCATCTCAAAGGGTTTATCCTAATAAACACATTTCTATAAGTGTAGGGCCTGATACATTTAAGCAAATTAAAATAAATTACAATCATTTCACAGACATTATCTTTCCTCTTTCTTTGAGAACCCGGTTCTAGATTCACATTCACATACAAGTAAAGTTTGTGGGCTCTTCAACTCTGGTTTGTTACCTAAGAGGAAGGGGTTGTTGTGCATATTGCTGGCGGGGTTGGAGGGTATAAGTGCGTCTAAATTAACCAGCGAGGCCCCCGTAGGTCCCAGGAAGGCTTCTGGGGTTCGACACAACCGTGAAGCAGGGGCGCTGAGGGGGGGCGCGAGCCGGGACAGGTCAAAGATCTCCGGGCTGGCCGACTCTCGTCCGTTTACCAGAGGGTTCACAGGAGGGTCGCTCCCAAACGGATCAGGGTTAAAATCTGCTCTGGAAAATAGGTCGGAGTCTGCCTTCACTCCAAACAGCTCTTCATCTGCTCCAGGAACAGAAATATTATGAGGTTTACGAAGGCAACGCAGAATTATTGTACCGGCTTTGAATACCACAAGATGGCACTATACTGGAACTGCTAACAATTAATAGTTTTTCACATGCAGTTTATTCCTGCATACTTTACAACATGCATTGTGTAGAATTTAGCTTAGCCAAAGCTACATTTGAAATATAACTAAAACTAATTGAAAGCTAAAAACGATCACAACCCTAAGGGATGGACATAAGCTATGGAACATTTCGTGCAATGCAGCAGAACATACTGTATGTAAATAAAATAAACACAACAGCAAACCACCTTTTGTCTATACTGTGTATCTACATCAACTTATTTTGTGAGTACTATCTATGAGTGCTGCTGTCCATAGGCTCATGCTGGACTGATAATTACTGCGTCTAAGATCCAAATGTACAGACTGTGGTACTTCTTGCTGTCTTGTACTACAATACCTATGGGACTAGCAGGTTGAGGGGAGGACAGCTGAGGAGCTTCCTGTTTAGGATTTTCCTCTTCCTGTGCAGCGAACGGATCTTCCCCGTCACCATCTGCATGTCAAAAAAAACAAAAACATTAAATAAAATAGGCAAAAGGTAGTGATAACATTGTTTGGACAGATATTGAAAACGACAACATATATGCATTTAGTTGATGCTTGGTACTTCTCAGGTACCTCTGTCTGTTGGGCTGTCCCACGCATGATTGACAGGACTGGAGGAGACGGGTGGAGCTTCCCAGGGGTCTGTGTGTGAGTCTTCACATGGAGCCCAAGGATTGGACGCATTGGAGGAGGAGGGAGGGGCCGTCCAAGGGCTACCAATCACAGGAGCGCTGGATTGGACCGCTGTTACAGGCAAAAAAACACATTGTGAAGCATAAGAAAACCTCACAGCGTGTGTGTGTGATGAGCCACCCACCTACAGAGTCCCAGGGGTCCGAGGAGACGTCATCGCTGGGTTGGGTAGAGTTCCAAGGGTCATGAGGCGGGGGAGGGGCCTCGGATGATTGGCCAAATATGTCCACCAGCTCCAGCATGGCGGACTACAGAGGGAGACAAAACTATTAATACGAGCCGCAGGTGAGAGTCAACTCTGGAGATCTGTGGAGGCGAGTATGGTAAATATTACTGTCCTTGTATAATATGACAATTCCTATTTATGTATTCAGCTTGGCAGATCTTTGTTAATTTAGATAGAAGAGACAGTATTTTGACTTGTTTTGAGTCAGGTTTTTGTATATGCATCTCTTAAGATTTTCTTTTTAATTTGGCACGTTTTGTAGCATGTCTATACTATTGGCCATTTTTGTATGCATTCCTGAGTCAGGATATTCATTTGCGTATTAGAGGAATGTATCATTCATGTAAGTCATTGTTAACTAAGTCAGAACTTAAATAACAAGGCATTTCGGTAATCCTCAAACGCATCAAGACAAGGACGTATTATTGAATTTAGCCATTTCTATACAGTTTTCTGATACATTACTTCAAAAATATATGTGAATGTGTGCAATGTGTAATTCATCACTATGCAATCAAAACCATGTTTCTCCAACAATTACATTTACTGGATACCCTGTTACCCTGGGGGATTGTGTATCTTAAGACACCATTTTGATATTTCTTAAGCTGAATAAACCATCCAAAATGTCGAAATAAAATACAAGACATTGTCCCATTGTGCTGTACATTTTTAAAAAGTTGATGTTTTACAGATGCACGGTTTTCACGAACAGTGAAGATCTGCTGAAGTGATACTGACTGTCTTTATGCACTTTTTTAGGAATATTAAAGCTCACTAAATGTTGTTTTATTTGAGTATGAATATGCACAAGCTAGAATGAAAGCACACATTTATAACAACTGTTTTAAGCATCCTTGATAGTTATATAAGTATTCAATGGTTTCTGTTATTTTACAGCCTGTATAATAGCAGAAATAGGTATATTAGATGCTTTGGCACAATATGCATATATTTTGTTTGGTTTTGTGTGTATATTGGCAAAGAGATACAGTGACATATTGCAGTGAATAATGCTTGAGGGGATTTTTCAGACTGCATTAGGACTTCCTTGTTTCGTTTACTCTGCAGCAGCCGGCAGCGCAGAATTTGTCAGGAATAACGTCAGTCAGAGAGGAGGGCACCTAAAAGTACCAACAAAAACCCTTATAATATAATAAAGACTTTTACACCCTAAGTCATCACTAATTAATCTACCAAAATAACATTTACCAAAGCAAAAAAATACTTTCAGGACAATCGTCAGACAGAATAATCAATCGCATGAAGTTGATATAGCTTGTAGTACAATGAAATACAAACAATATAATACATATTTTTATCTTACCTTTATAATAAAAGTAAAGAAATAACCTTAAGGCGTAAGTGTGATGAGGTGACATACGGCTGTGCATTTGTTGTTGTTTCAAGGACAGATTTGATTGATTTTCTAGTGAAAGTGTCTAAATCTGCAGCAGCAGAACACAGGAGTAAGATACAGTCAAGACGAATAATAGAGGTCTGATTGAACATAATTATAATTAGGAAATAGTTGATACGGACTAGAACGTATTACAATGGCATCTGTTATTGCTATGGCATGACTTTTTGTCACCATGGTATCAGACCGCCACCTTATTTAGCAACCCAACCTTAAAACAACCCAGTTGCTTAGTGATGATATACCATCACGCCACCGTGAAGCTGTATATAGCAAAGGTCCATAATATGCTCCTTATCTACATGAAGTGTGCATTTATACATATTGTTCCATGTCCTTTTGTCCTTGTGTGTGCGTGACCATGTGTGGGTTTTGTGTGTGCAGGCACGGTGGAGGAGGACGAGGGAGACGATTTACTATTAAAGTATGTGGATGAGTTCTGGTGGTTCCCCCACATGTGGAGCCACATGCAGCCTCACCTCTTCCACAACGAGTCATCGCTGCTGGAGCAGATGGTCCTCAACAAGGAGTTCGCTCTGGTGAGATGATGCGCACACTCAGACACGCACACTCATTTCTTGCAGTTGTTTGTTCTATTGTTGCATTTTTGTTCTTGTGTGTCCTTTTAATCATGCTCGCTTCCCATTATTGCATTTTCTTCAAGGACGTCTGTTGCTGTTAGCAATTGCTATTTCTTTGCTACAGCAGATTGCTGAGATGAAGTTTGCAGGTCAAATCACTGGAACTATTCTAACACAAACAATACACTTTGTTACATAAACTACTTCACAGGAAATATAAAAATGCTTCTTTGTTTATGTTGCATAAAAACATTTTCTAGTTTGGTGTTCATATACCAGGACTATGAAATTGTAAACTTGGTTTACTTTCCTGTGTCTAATTGTTGTTAGGTTTATGTTTTGATTTAGTTTTCACAAGCTAATACTGTAAAGAAAACCTGTGAATGTCTTGAAGGTGCACAAATATGTTGAATTATATTCTTAACGCAAATTACTTCCATATAAACTCATTTTTATGAGGCGGTGTTCGGAAAATAGTTGTATTTCTGTCAGCGAAGAAGAATGTTTTAACAGAGTGTAGTACTAATTTTCCGCTGTAAAAAACAAACTAACGACATTAATATCCCTGTTGGGAAAAACGTTACATGACCGACTACAAGGCCTAGAGACCTTTACATAAGACAGATGGCGACTCTGATTGGCTTGTTGATAGGCCATAGGCCACTGCGGTACTTTTCCCACAAAGGTTCATGTGAACTTAGTTCATGAGAACTCTTTAGTTCTCATGAACTAAGTACAGATCGCGTTCACACTGGAAAAAGTCCCTGGGGGTGGATTAGGCAAATGAAGCCGCTGACGTCACTTGTTCTTCTTCTGCTTTGGGTTTACTGGCAGGCCGCAAACCACTTCACGGCGTATACTGCCGCCCAAAGTCCCCGGCCGGAAGTCCCCGGAGTTAGGGACTGGCTTCAGTAGAAGCTGCTGGGACTCCCAGCAGCTTCTACTGAAGCCTTCCGAGTAAATCGCCAGAACGCCGACACCTCCTCATCTCCACCACTCCCATGTTTTATTTTGTGTTGCCATAAGTTAGTCTCTCTGCGTTTCTGCACTGGGTTAATGCTAATGCTAATAATGCTAATGCGAGGATAATAAAATGGCGGCTTCACAAAACTTTTTGGGAGTTTTACGGGGCGTGGTTTGCAATCCTTCCAGCCAATCAGAAATATAGCTCTTTTCTCACAAAAGAGCCGCTCGAAAGTCCCTGCTCTCTAGCAGGGACTTTCGAGGGGGTAAAAAGGTTCTCATGAACTAATTTTAGTACCGGCTCTTTTTGGTGTGAACGCGATAAAAGAGTTCACATGAACTAAGTTCACATGAACCTTTGTGGGAAAAGTACCGCAGTGTGAAAGCGCCTAATGAGGAAAGGAGCTGGTGTGCTTTAACCTGTTAAGCCCCAATCCTGTTTTTCAGGTTTCAGGCTCGAAAATGACATTCCCAGAACAATGACTATATCTTCCCTTCTAAAAGGGGTAAATTAATAATATTTTTTCTCAAAGCAATTATAAACCTGTGAGTTGGATGTAGAAGAGTCAGAATAAATATAGAATTTTTTTATTTTAAAGTAAATTCAGATTGAACATAGTAAAAAAATGTAAATGATAGTTTCCGTCCAAAAAAGACCGTACTTATAGTGAAAACCACCCTTGAATGATGGGATAGTAGACTAAAAGCTTTAGGAATCCAAACTACAACATATAATAAGTACCCTGTATCAAGATTGATGCAAAACAAGTGAAATGTGACCTTTTTAGAGAGATTTAGAAGAAAAAACCCCACCTCTGGGGTCATTTGGGTGAATTTGCCATATCTCTGGAACCCATTGGTCGATTTTGGTGATTGACACCTCTTTTTAACCGTTAGAGCCAATAGAATCGAGAGGGAAGTTCCTAAATCCACCTACACGTTACCATGAGGAGTGAGAGTGATGCACACGCAGTTTGCCCAAACCAAAAGCTATGTTACGCTCTAAAAACTGAAAACGATAGGCTTATTGCCATAAATATGATGATGGATGATCAGTAATCATTTCAAAGGGACACAGAGACATTGGATTAACCTTCAGCAGCGTTTATCTGTGTTTTAATGCCCTTGAACACCACTTTTGATCAGAAAACAGCAAAGGTAAGACATATTTGCCGTTTTGGCTACGTAAAGTGAAGTTGTGTGTTGTCTTTGCTGGCTTTTGCTGCCGCGAGTTTTATATACTTATACCATTGGAATCAGTGTAGTCTCAGCTCTCGTATGATATCTTGTTTGTGCAGAACCGATGAAGTATAAAATATTTCTACCGTCAAGTGCGTTAGCATTTTTTCGCTTAGTGCTAATTCAGAGGCTCAGCGTTACACTTGTGTTTTGTTTCGGTAAAAATGGTTCATATCGTCAGTTAGCTGAGTTTCTTCCCGTTAAGTGGGTATGACACATTAATAGGTTGTTAAATGTTAAGAAGCCCTGAGACACAGTTTCGTGAGAAAAAAAAAGCCCGTATCCCCGCCGGCGGGGGCTATGGGGCTTAACAGATAAGGAGTATGCTTTCAGGGAAAATGTTATGCTGAGCTCATGGTTAGACGAGACAAAGCCATTGTCATTCAGCAGGCACCTCTTTCTCCTCTCTCAGCTCTCTCAAACCTCCCTCGTTATGCTGATCTATGTCTTTTTGTTTAGTTTCCCTCACAGTAAACTCCACTTCATTCTCTTAATGCCTGCCAAAAAAACAACCTACAAATGCACCCGCTCACCCTGGTGTAGCACGAATGCACCCACACACATGCTGTACGGAGCACACGCGTTTCTAAAACTCACCTCCTGTGTACCCGACTCACTCTCTCTCCTGCTCTCATCCAGGGCCTTCTGTAACAGAGACTCGTCTCCTTGGCGACAGCACTGGTCCTGCAGGGGCGGTATCATGACATCAACATTATCGCCGCGGTTATGAGCGTGGACACACACAAACACGTGCGTAAACACACACACACACGCAAGTGAAACAGAGGCAGCACTGGTGGCTTTTTTTGTGCAGATGAAATATTTAGTTGACAGCGAGCAGAGGCTGGATCAGAGCAACACAGAGGATGTTTTTACTGTAGATGGAGAAGATTAAATTATACTTGTGCGAGGAAAGAGGGATGTATGTTTGAAAGAGCAACAACGACAAGGTGGTTAATGGATTAGTTGATTTAGGGAAACATAATGCCTTCTATTTTGACAATCAACTAATCAGTGAAGTCATTTTACAATCAAAATGGCAGAATTGGGTATTATGGAGATTTTCTGTTTTATATCATATTCAACTGTGGGTTTATTATGATTGACAAACATTTAATTTGGATTTCGGTTGATTTCTTTCAACAATTTTGTTGACGAAATATAAGATTCCACATATAAACCTGTGATTAAAATACGCGTTGAATGCAGGCCAAGTGTTTGAGAGCCGGTCGATATTTAAAGGAGTTAGCTATCAAAAATAAGAAGAAATCACTGGATGGCAACAAACAGTTTACTTAGAATGAGTCCTATACACTGAATGGTGAGTTGTGTAGTGAGTTGTGTTTCTGTGTGTGTAACTGCTCAGGCTACTTTAGGAGAAGGCTTGGAGCTATCTGTAGTTGTGTGTCTTCATCCATCTCTATGGTAACAGGGAAAGGAAGGGCTAGCTAGATTAAAGTGGGCGTATGTTCGGAACATTTCTACCAAAATGGTCCTTTTGGAATCATGAAGAGGCAACGAGACATGTGGCTGCAGAGGAAGGTCTGTGTGTGGAGGGAGAGTATGCTGTCACTGAGAGATGAAGGAGATTACACAATATTGTAATGAGTGTGTGTGTGTGTGTGTGGTGTGTGTGTGTGTGTGTGTGTGTGTGTGTGTGTGTGTGTGTGTGTGTGTGTGTGTGTGTGTGTGTGTGTGTGTGTGTGTGTGTGTGTGTGTGTGTGTGTGTGTGTGTGTGTGTGTGTGTGTGTGTGTGTGTGTGTGTGTGTGTGTGTGTGTGTGTGTGTGTGTGTGTGTGTGTGTGTTGTGTGTGTGTGTGTGTGTATATATATTACCTTCTGACTCTCCTCCCTGCTCATGGCTAAAGCTAACTGCAGCTGCAGCTCCTCCTCGCCACTGGTCTGAGGTCGAGCCTGCTCCAGGTCTGAGGCGGCGCGAGGGGACGAGGACGAGGCTGCAGAGGGAACAAGGGAAGGAGTTTTAGTGAGGAAGCAATGAGTGTGTATGATGAGAAAATTGTCAGATTGACGTGGGGTTGAATGACGCACTGAGGCAAAGAGCACAGGAAGTGGGGGGCTCATTTGAATATTTTCATGCCCACGCAGCAGTATTGGTAATCCATGTGGCAGATTGTCCAAAATGCTCGGCTTCAGCACCAAATGCATTTCATTGGGTATCAGCGTGAATACAAGGGAGAATTCTTCATCCACTTAACTGCCAACACATAAAGTTAGCTGTTCTTAATTTTCTTAATCTCTTTCATTTTTTGTAAAGCACTTTGAATTGCCTTGTGTTGGAAAGAGCTATATAAATAAACTTGCCTTGCCTGCCTTGCCTTGCCTTGTTCTGTGCTCTAGATAAGTTCAGAGTTTTAAGCAGTGATCAATATTTATGAAACAAAAATCAATGTCAAAGGAGCTGATAGTGATAAATGATAATTATCACCAGAGTATGGAGCTCCCCTGAGCTTTACAGAGCTTTATATCAAGGGTCAGCTCGTTGTTCAGCTGTCTGGCAACGCTACTGTTGTGATTCATTTTCACATCCTTCAAAGTGCTGTTTTCAGTCGCAGCAGGCAGCTGTTTTCAGCAAAGTAGTCTAAATGCAAGCCCAGTGACTGTCTCTCACATAGTGCATGAGACACAGTCCCATACGGAAGCTGGATGTACATTTGCCTATTTAATTCACTAAGACGCTTTGAGAACACTTCCAGCTTAAATCTCACCTTTGCATTGCTTAACATTGTTTAAAAGGTTATTTTTAGCTTTCCATCCTCAGTGTGCGAGCATATTAAAGCTTAGTACACTACAAAAACGCAAAGAGGACGTCATACTGGATGATATCATGGACAAGCGGCAATTAAGGGAGATTTACGCTTTATTATAAATGTTTTCAAACTGTGTTATTTTTTTCAGTTTTGTGGTATTCAAAATGTTCCTACTCCATTGATGAGCAGGTTAAACCTATTGTATACTATCTGTAAAGCAACACAGCAGACACATTTAGTGACTAGCTGGTGAACACAGTGGAGTACTTAGTAGCTTTAGAGACATATAACACAGAACTAAAAGACATTGACGAATGGAAATACTTTGGCCACGTTGGCAGAAACACAACTTCAAACAATTGTAAATGTTGCTCCGTAACTGTTCGCTTCCCGCCAAGTAAATTCAAAAGGGATGATATGTCGCTGCTGTCTTCACAAATTGTTTCTGCTGCCCCCATGTGGCCCAGAATTGTAAGTTATTACAGTTTTAAATACCCTCAGAACTCACAGTTAAATGAAGATGGAGAGCCTCGGGAGTGGCTGAACTCCTCCCCGTAAAGCACAGCCATGCTGGGCTGGCTTGTCCGCCTGCCTGGGTGGTAAGACGGTGGTATACCTCCATACACCCCTCCGCCCCCTCCACTGCCCCCCCCAGCCATTCGCTCCTTGGTCTTCAGGGCCTGACTCCTCTCCTGTCGAAGCCGCTCCTCGTCCCGAAGGAGACACACCAGTTGGCGGGCTTTTTCCCTCACGTTGGCCCCCTGATCTCTGCCGTCACGATCCATGTACTGGAAGTCACGTAGCGTCTGAACCACACATACATAAAATAAATGTTAATTATTGAAGGATGACATTTACTTAAAGAAATACAATTCAAGCTGTGGTAATGAAGATGTTCCTGAGACAGTCAGATTGATGAGGTTCTTCTCCTGTTGCAGTCCAGTACCTGAATAGTGAAAGCGTTCTCACGGCACTGTTGGGCCACTCTCTCTGATCCTGTCTTCAGCAGGTAATCCAACAGAGTCAGGGCCTGGAGTCAAAAGCTGATTAATACACTGATAGTACATTAATATCATACAAAAATCTACTGTACAGGGCGATCTGCAATGACATGGATGCAGGAGAGTCTGCAGCCGTGTTAGCCAATGTGTGAGGCTGTACAGGTAAGCTAAAGGATTAGCATGCTGAAATACTTACAATACTAATGCTAGGATTTTTAGTTTTAGTTTGCTAGCATGTCAAAATGTGTGGGCTTTAGTTGTATGCAAGTAAACAGTCCGGCTGGAGAGCTAAAGTGGTGGGACGCATGGGCCCAATAAGTCCTGGAATCTATCAACTATAAACTGATGTTATTTTAGCTTAATATTAGCTTAGAATTAGCTCTAAAATGGCGACTTCAGAAACAACCCTGTGATGGACGTAGTTTCTCAACTCTAATTCCTTTCCAACTCCATGCCTCTGAAGTTGCAAATTGCACTATAAACAACAACATTAAAAAGGAAGTGTTGACCTGATATCCATAAGCTACAGGAAGCTAATGGGTTTTTAGATTGAGCTCATTGTGGCCCAAGAGGAAAGTCAGAGGATCCCCTAAGTCAGCAAGATACCTTATCTACGCACTGTTGAGAATATCTTTTACAATTTTGGGACAATTCATGGAGTCGATATTGTGACATTTGTCGGGATGAGTGAAAATGTAACCTACTGTTTTCACTAGAGGGACAGTACAGCTGTGGGATATGTTCTCTAATATCTGTCAAAATCCATTACAGTTGGAAAGGTGTTTCATTCCAAACGACAGATGTCAACCTCAGTCAATCATCAAATAGGAGAAAGGTGAAGGGCGGGAAATGGTGGTCAGAGGGAAGCTAAAGAAACAGCTGAAGCTTTAGTAAGCGAGAAGAAGGAAGTGAAACATGTACACAGAGAGGATTTATAAATATTCTGAGCAGCCGAATCTGACAGAACTCTCTCATGAGGTCACCTTGTAAACGTGCCTCCAGTTCTTGCCGCTGTCGTTCAGGCGTTTCCACACCATGCCCATGACCTCAGCAAACGCCACCACATTGAAGGTCAAGTCAGCGATCTCTGACATGAGAGACGAGGACGGGCCCCATGGATCGTTCGAAGTGGCTTCACGAACCTACACGTGACCAACAGAGGATCATTGACGTCCTTTTCTTCTCATATTTGTATGCATATCATTTTCTTTCTCATCCAAAGTAACCATATCATAAAAAATGAGAAATAACAGATGTCAAAGCAAGTTTATAGTTAGATGAAGTTGTGTTCTGACGTTAATTGATCTGATATGACTCGACATTGATTTAAAGGCATTAAATCAGAATGATGTATACAGCTTGTTTTTAATAGGCTACCTTGATCTCCGCTTCTGAATAGTTGTGCACGATATTCTTCACCTGCCGGCGCAGGGCTGAGGTTGTCATGGTGACAGGTTATGGAGGATGTGGAGGGATAGAAAAATGTAAAAAAAACAACACTTAACAGATGAAGAGACGGGGTGAAAGGGGGAACGTGGACAATGGGAGGGGAGGAGAGGAGAGGTAGCTATGGCAATGAAGGCTCCTCTTCTCTGTCAGGAGTTATAGGACGCCCCTGTAAGAAAGAAAAACAGACATTATATGAATAAAAGTAAACTCTAGAAATAACTTCATTCTTACTCTTTTTTTGGGACGATCTAATTAGCTAAATATAGGTTTTTTTGTATCCGTGCAAGGGGCAACACATAAACACAGCAATAGACTGGTTTTAGAATTTAGACCAAATTAAACAAACCAATATAAACATCGAAATATTACAATGATTATTAATATGAATATGAAACAGTATGCAAACCAGTTGTTATTAATGATGGTTGTGTCCATGTTATGTATGGCGACATGTGTATTAGTGTGTGTTGTTAATAGCGTCAATGAGCACACTGAGGAATACACACAATAACTGATGATAGTGACTGAGTGAGTGGCTCAACACTGGCTCCCTGCTCAGGAAGTAGGTCATACAGAAGCTCTGGCACTCAGGTGTCTGATGGAGCTTCTTGGCAGCTTAATTTATTCAGGCCAACACACACATGCAGCTGCCTGTTTGCCCACAGACACGCACATAACCCATTTTCTCTTCTGAGTCCATAATTCAGAGAGGACGGAGGGGAATCGATCATTCAGGTTTCCTGTCACACTTTTCTCCAGTGATACTTCCCACTATCCTCTGATACAACTCCCTGTGACTGACACTGAACACACTGTGCTCACCAAAGTAAAGCTAAC